TGGGAGGGGGGTGGGAGGGGGTGGGTTAAAAGAAAGAAAGAAAGAAAAAAAAATCAATAAAAGTGACAGTCTTTATTTGTCTGCATGAAGTTATCAGTGGCTCCCGCTGTAAGACATTGTGCTCTTTCCAGCGTTTCAACCACAGCAGAGATCACAATCCATCACGATGCTCGGTGGGCTCTCGCAACACACCACAGGAATAATAATTGAGCTCAGATTCACCTGTCTTTAATTAGGGCCTGGGATCAGAGAAGGCGAGCGTGATGCTAATCCACGGAGGAGGCTTGTTTACGTCTAATGTCCTGTTGCTGTGTAATAAGGTTCGCTGTCAGGAAAACGTCATCTAAAATGTCGAATTAGGGGAAATAAGGGGAAGTCGATGTTTAATTTACACATAATGTAGTAGAAGGAAAAACCTTTGATTATTCTCTGAGAGTATAAACATTTTTAAAATAAATATATTTGGCTAACCAACAATAAGGAATACTTTGGTTGAACCTAGTTTACTTGTAAAAATCTTTTAGCTTTTTCCTTGCTCGCTTGATTAGCTTTGCTACAACTCCTGTTTGGCAAACTATTTCTTCTGTTTCTTCGAGACTTTTTTTTTAGGTACTCCAAGCTAATTTGCTATGCATATTTAGAATTAGTCAGTGATAAAAATTATTGTATCTTTAGCTAAGATTTAAGCTATTTTCTGGCTTACGATTCTTCATGGCTAATTTTTTTTTATTATGTTGTAGTTTCACAACATTTGGTTATGTCCATACTACTGTAACTTTTTTTTTTTAAGTTTAGGTCCATGTGGTGTGTGCAACAAAATCTGGTTTTGTCAAATTTGACCTTGAAGCATTTCTGTCGTCAATTCAAAGTCAACTGTAAACATTTAAAGGCCATTTCTAAGGATATTAGATTTTCATTTCTATGTATTTTTTAATTCATTAAGTAAAAAAAATGTAAATACAATTAGCTTTAGTTTGCTTATACTGAGGCAGACAAAGAACTGATTGGCGTTAAACTGCCATGCCGCTGCGGCTCAGCTACATCATACCGTAGTATGATAGTGGTTGACTCTGGGAAAAAAAAAAAAAAAAAAAAAAAATCACAGGTCCTCACGTTCTCCCCCGTTGCAGCCACTCGGGGACGCCAGAGCGCAAAATTACAGCGGAGAGCTTTAAATAAATCAGACACACTTCCATAATCACAATGTGAGGATGTAAAAGGCCAGACAGAACT